CGACTTAACACTGCTTTTGTGCGCCAGTGTCACATATATATATATATATATATATATATATATATATATATATATATATAAAAGACATTTACAAACAAAAACCCGCCGAAAATCACAAAAACACCATAAAATTACTAAAACTGACTAAAATTAAAAAGTAAGCATTAAAAAAATTATAATTACTATAAAAAAATTATAAATAAAAAATATAATAAAAACATTTATGAAACTGCTGAAAAAACAAAAACACAAAAGCTACTTAAACCCTAATTAAAATAAAAAAGAAAACAGAATAGAACATATAAAAATATATTAAAAAAATACAAAATATTAATAAAAGTTAAAAAATAAAAAATATTATATAGACATATATAAAAAGAAAAAAAACAAGAAAAGAATAAATAAAATGAAGGGGGAAAAAAATCACAAAACACAACAAAATTACCAATATTAAAAATTAAAATTAAAGACGATGTAAAAACAAATTCTAAATATTATTAAAAACATTCTAAATAATAATTTATAAAAACACTATACAGACATTAAAAACTACTGAACATCACAAAAACACAACAAAATTACTAAAACTTTAACTATAATTAAAAACAAAACAAAATAATTCTAAATGTTTCTAAAAATTATTATCAATAAAAATGTAGGCTATATATAAAAATACTATCTAGACTTAAAAAACGAACAGAAAATCACAAAAATACACAGCAAAATTACTATAACTTTTACTAAAACTGAGACAGAAAATTAAAACAAAAACTATAAAACTATAAACAGAAAATGTGAAACTAAAGTACAAATTAAAAACTACTTTAAAGTATTGTATGTTATAATAACGAAACTAAACTAACACTGTATTACTAAAACCTAAAGATATATAGTTTTTACATATTCTGAAGGAATTGTGCATGGAACTGTAAACAGTAAAGCACTTCACCAGTCCTTCCGTCATACTGTACAAAAACACAAATGGTAAGACCACAACCCTTCCACCGACGGATGGAGAATGGCTTATGTGTCTCTCAATAATTCATAAAGGCTTTGTCACCAGCCCTGCATGAATGATTCATCCGTCAGTGTGAGATCCGCAGATGACACGACACCAGAAACCCTTCTCAAATAAACAGCTCCTAACCAGGTCAGCGTGTTACTGTGTTAACTAAACACTGACCGCCACAGAAACACACAAACACCTGCACTCTGGGTAAATGTTCCTGTGGTCCACGCGGCCTTTGGAGCGAGAGATCGCAGCCAGTTCGGACGCCAGGAGATGATTGTCTCTCTCAATGGTGAACATCCTCTCGTCCTGCACCTGAAAACAGCACAAACTCATTTCATATACAGTATTTTAATGCATGCATTTGAACAAAAAAAAAAATTCCTACACGTTTTTTTTCCAGTGTAGGTTTGTAAATGCATCTATAATTTGACATATGAATGCATTGTAATACATTCTTGTTTACATATTAATTAACGAGTCACCTGGATTTTCTTCAGTTTCTGTTGAATATGTGCAGGCGTTTGGATGCCCTTGGTGTTGACCACGGGTTTGGCCTCTCGCACCTTAGAAAGAAATACAGAGAGGAAATGAAATCATTAAATACAGGGAGAACATCATTTCAGCTGTGCTCCTGTATTTAAGAGTGCATTTCTCGATAAGAATTTCAAGTCTTTACTGATCCAGTAGAGTGTAAATTTAAAAATAAACATTTCAGTTTAAAACACCACTGGTCAAAATGTGGAATAATATTTATGTTTTCTTCTGCTGATCAAGGCTGCGTTTATATGATCAAAAATACTGTAAAAATTGTGAAATATTATTAACATTTAAAATAACAGTTTTCTATGTGAATATATATTAAAATATAATTTATTTCTGTGATGCACAGCTGTATTTTCATTCTAATATGCTGATTTGCTGCTCGAGACACATTTATGATTATTATCAATGTTGAAAACAGTCGTGCTGCACAATATTTTAAGAAACCGTGATGTATTTTATTTTTCAGGATTCACAGATGAACAGAAAGTTCACAAGAACATCATTTATTTTTTTATTATTCATTTTACTTACCCCAAACTAAGTGTATCGCCACAAAAATATTGGGCAGCACTACTGTTTTCAACATTGATGATAATCAGAAATGTTTCTTGAGCAGCAAATTTCTGAAGATCATGTGACTCTGAAGACTGGAGGAATGATGCTGAAAATTCAGCTGTGCATCACAGGAATAAATGACATTTTAAATAGCTGCCCAAATTCGTTTTCAAGCAATACCAAACAGGATTATGAAACAAACAGATGCAGAAACCTTGCTGCGGTGGTCCTCATAGCGCGTCTGGTCCCATCTCTGCTGCAGGTATTTGTTGGTCGAGGGTTTTAGCGGCTGGTAGGATTTGTGCATCACTTGGCTTCTGTTTGACTGACTGCTTTTGGCTGGTTTCTATTTATAAAACGTGCAGCTCGAGTCCTGGATGCTGATTGGTAGATAGCAGCATCATATTAAAAGATCTGTTTATCATGCTTAGCAACCACTCTGGGCGACATACACAAGTGTTTTTATTGGTAAAAACTAACGGACCAACATGTTTAAAAGTAAATTTTATTTGAAGAACAGTTTGAAGAGACTATAGAAATAACTTTAGTTTTGTAGTTGCCATTTTATATGTATAACAAAATATTTAGGTAGGCTAGCCATAATTAATCATATTATTATAAAACACTTACATGCATTATTATCATTTCAGCTAAATTAACGGGTTATTAATAATTCAGTGTGGTATGTGTGCCCCCTGCTGGCGCAATGAAAGTGCATACTGTGAGTGCACATCTTAGTGCAATACAACCCCTTATTGTGCAATACTTTTTTTTCTCTCCCTCTTTTGATGAGAGTTAGTGCAGTACAACGTAAAGTTAAATCTGAACTATGCACGTATGTTTTAAACGCTTCAGCTACCTTATATAGCCTATTCTTACTCCGCACATATTTACTTTAACTTCTCAGTAGTATGGCCTATTTCAGATGCAGCCGAAATTACAACAACATGGTTACATACACATACAGTATATTGAATTTTTTGATCAAAATTATTGTTAGGGGTTGTGGTAACACTTTACTTGAAGGGGTGTGCATAAGACTGACATGACACCTTCATAATCATGACATGACACATGTCATGAATATGAAGGAGGTTTTATGCATGTTTATGACAACTGTCATTAAGTGTCATTCGCTCAGTTATGTCATTTTTAATGCAAATATGACATTATTTGACCTAACCCTACCCCTACCCTTACCCCTAACCATAGCCCATAACAAAGACATCTCAAACAATGTTATCTTTGCATTAAAAATTACATAACTGAGCGAATGACACTTAATGACAGTTGTCATAAACATGCATTAAAACCCTTAATATTCATGACATGTGTTTGAAATTATGAAGGTGTCATGTCAGTCTTATGCACACCCCTTCAAGTAAAGTGTAACCGGGGTTGTTTAGTAGTGGCTGGATTTGTTAGGGACATGTCCCGAGCGTCTCTACTAAATTCTATGCCCTTGGAATTTAGAATTCTGTTTCTCCTTTTAGAATCTTTAAAGTGTTAGAAATCACAATGTTGAGAATTTAAGAACTCGGGACTCAGCTCTAGTGTTTGAGAGTTCAGAACGTGTTGTGTTGTGTTGAGTTGTCACTGTGAACGCTGGTCTGATATTCCCCACAGCAGACGAGCTGGAGCTGTTACCATGGCATCCCGGCTCACCTGTACCTGCAGCAGTATCCCAGCAGAAGAGATCAGGTGTCCGTGAAGTCCAGCCGTTCCCGTTCACAGCCCACTGACTTCACTGAACGCTGTGAGGTACACCGGAGAGTAGACGGTCTAATTGTGAGTACAGAGCATCTGTCATGAATAAATAGGGCAGACCGGGGCTTGATGTCAAACTTTTTTTTTTTTTAGCTCAGTGAATATTTAATATTTCCCCAGTGGTGTGTGTGTGTGTGTGTGATGTGTGTACCTGTTTTTCTATTCTGGTGGGGACTTAAACCTGAATACACACAGACTCATGGGGACTCGTGTCACGGTGGGGACCTAAATTGAGGTCCCCATGGGTAAACAAGCTAATAAATCACACAGAAGTTTTTTGAAAATCTAAAAATGCAGAAAGTTTCCTGTAAGGGGTAGGTTTAGGTGTAGGGCGATAGAATATACGGTCTGTACAGTATAAAAACCATTACGCCTATGGAGAGTCCCCACAAGGATAGCAAACCAGACATGTGTGTGTGTGTGTGTGTGGGTGTGTGTGTGTGTGTGTGTGTGTGTGTGTGTGTGTGTGTGTGTGCGCACTGGTGAATAAGCTGATAATTCCTCCTGAGAACAGAGAACTACCCACCAGCAGATACTCTGGGCTCCGACCACCTAGCAACCACCCTGAACACCCTAGCGATGCTTTATAAATAGATGAACTTGATGCCTTAGCAACCCCCTTGAACACCCTAGCAACCACTGTGAGCACCCTAGCAACAGCTTTAGCTTCCACCCACAACACCCTAGCAACCACCCTATACACCCTAGCAATGGCCCTAGCATCCACTCACAACACCATAGGAACATAATAACCACCTTAAACACCCTAGCAGTGCCCTGGCAACCACTGCACTAGCAACACCCTAGAAACCAACACAAATGACTTAGCAACACCCTAGCAACCACTCTTAACTCCCACCAACACCCTAGCAATCATCCACAAAACTCAAGCAATGCCCTAGCAACCAACATGAAAACAATAGGAATGTCATATAACAATCGCTATGAACACCATAGCAATGCCCTAGCAACTGCTATGTACACCCTAGCAACCAACATGAGCACCGTAGCAACTACCCACAACACCCTAGCAACCATCATGAACACCCTAGTAATGCCATAGCAATGGCCATAAACACCCTGACAATGCCCTATTAACCACTATCCTATAAACACCCTAAAAAAACACTTTGAACACCCTAGCTATATCCTAGTAACCACCCATAACACTCTACCAACCAACATGTAAACCATAGAAATGCCATAGCAATCGCTATGAACACCATAGCAATGCCCTAGCAACCACTACCCTAGCAACCACCACAATCTTTTTAGCAATGCCCTAGCAACCGCTATGTATACCCTGGCAACCACCCATAATACCCTAGCATCCACTACCCTAGCAACACCCTAGAAACTGACGTGAACATCTTAGCAATGCCCTAGAAACTACTATGATCACTCTAGCAATGCTTTTTAGCTATCAAGGAGACATTCAGATCCTGTGGTTTGATCGCAGCATGTAGATGAAACATATTTGTGTCATTTGCTCTCTGCTGAGCGTCACGTGATTGTAGTCTGTCGAAACACACACACACACACACACACACAGAGCTGGAGTGTTTTATAGATGCTGTTATTATAACATTGATCGTGTCAAATGGAGAGCAACCACCACAATCTTTTTAGCAATGCCCTAGCAACCGCTATGTATACCCTGGCAACCACCCATAATACCCTAGCATCCACTACCCTAGCAACACCCTAGAAACTGACGTGAACATCTTAGCAATGCCCTAGAAACTACTATGATCACTCTAGCAATGCTTTTTAGCTATCAAGGAGACATTCAGATCCTGTGGTTTGATCGCAGCATGTAGATGAAACATATTTGTGTCATTTGCTCTCTGCTGAGCGTCACGTGATTGTAGTCTGTCGAAACACACACATACACACACAGAGAGCTGGAGTGTTTTATAGATGCTGTTATTATAACATTGATCGTGTCAAATGGAGCAGCCGCCGCACACTTGGCCGGACAAAACCCCTGCTCTCTATTGATTGGATAAAAGTAATAACTGACATGCGACTCCCTGCGTTTAATCGATGTCCTAGTGTTGACCCCGCCTCCTCCGCCGGGGGTCAAAGGTTACAGCAGATATTGAAAAATAATCGCAGCCGGCCCCGGGGCAATTTGTCCGGGTCAGAGGGGTGTGGAGAAAGCGCTGATTCTCCATCTGTTTGCAGGAGATCCCAAGAGAGCCGATCCCAGTCACTGCTGATCTGATCTTAGGATGTAAATTAACCAAAACATTGTTAATGAGAAGACGAACTTGACTGCAGCAGGTTAGTCGGGAAATGAATGTATTTGTTCAGATTGCACATTTGGAAGGGAAATGTATTAATACCCTAATAACCCTAACCCATTTCAGCAGGTGATACGAGATGTAAGCCTAAACATCCTCAGTTTTGAAATGCATACTCCACGCGAACGTACTCCCGCGTAATATTTTAGAAGGACCTCAATTCATCCCACCGCACCTCATCCGTGTTGTGTCAGGAAATGGTGAAAACTGAGGCAGTGTGTCGTTGTTTAGAAGAAAAGCAGCCAGGTATGCTGCGGTAACACCGGCCAAAGAAAGGAAAGAGAGGATTCTCTCATTAGTTTTGACTGCGTTGCGACGGGACCGGAAGACCGGCGATACACTGCTTCACTTACCGGATATAGGACGTGTGATAAAGTTCTATTGGTATAGAAATAATGAATGAATAGCGCTCATCTGTCCATGAAATGGCTTTTGAGTCAACTGTGGTCCCTTGAAATAGGGGGGAGGTACATATTAAAGAGCTATAATTCCTTAACCTTTCCTCCAATTTAGATGAGAAGACCCTCAAATTAAAGCTCAGAGTGTGCACTTTAAGCTCATATTTTAATTATATAACTGAACCGTTTTGGTCAACAGCTAAAATAATAAAAATTGTACCTGTGTCCAAATATGTATGGACCTAATTGTATATACATTTACATATTTTTACATTTTTATACATATGTATGTACGTGTGTCGTGTGTGTGATTAATTTGATTGTAATGTTCAGCCAATAAATAGCAACTGTGTGAGTAATAAAATTTCAAATATATTCTCATTAATTGGTCACCTGTTAAGTTGTAAATACACAAAACTGGCATGAACGCAATCTAAACCCAGATGAGCTTTTTGTTCTTGGCTTGGGAAGCGGACACACATTTTTCCCATGATGCACCAGAAATCTGAACCGTGACAGAAATCTCATTATGTCTTCAATCAGGCATCTGCACGTACAAACATATCCTGTGATCTGCTTCCTCCGTGTTTTGGAAAGATGTCCAGTGGAGAGACTGAATTGGGCTGCGCTCCAGATTCCTCAGGGATGAGGACGCTCTGTTCATTTGTCTCTGTGTTTTATGATGAAAATATCCAGCTGCTCTCCCTGGCGCGCACGCTCTTGTTTGGTTTCTCTGGACTGATTTTCCCAGCAGTTGGCGTCGTGAAGCTTCCTCCTCCTCCTCTCCATCTCTCCTGGTTTTTCCAGGCTGGGCGTTTTGCCGCAGGGAGGAGGCCGC